GCAGGCCAGTCTTGTAATTATATTATATTAGGGATGAGGAGAATTTTGTTCATTCCATATCTTTAAGCAAACAGATTCACACATTCTGGACAAATACACCATTTTGAGGTTCTTGTCTCAGAAAAGTACCAACAATCTGTATTTGGGATTTAAATGCATGCTCTGGGAGACAATGTGCACAAAAATCCATTTCAAATGAAAAAAATTATGTTCAAGAATAATGCAAATGTTTGGTTTTTAATTTACAGATTGATGTGGAAATAGGACAGAGCAGATTTATTAATAAGAACACAGGAATACTGGAAACTGTCATATTCAGTCAGGCGTTGGGTCCATCTAGCGCAGTATTGGTCTACAATGACCGGCAACAGCAGATGCTCCACCACTGAGCTATGCCCTTCTCCATGTAAAGCTGACAGGGCCTGGAAATACCTCATACATCAATTGTGACCAAAACAAATGAACCCACAAATCAGGACTGGAAAACACAGGTCAATACAAAGAAAAAGTGGACTCCAACAGGCCAACAGCAAGGTCAGATGGGCTCTCCATAAAAAAACGAGTTAACAAAGAACAGCAATTCCAGGAAAGGGCTCAAGCAAAAGGAACCCAACAGGTGGGCCAAAAACATAAGATAGCCCCGCTCTTTGAGCAGATGAGACCAGTTGTGGGTCCAATGGTGAAGAAGGCATTTTCTGCAGGTGCTGTCTGTAGAGGGAAGGGGCAGATGGGGCTCGTCAAGCTGGAAAGATAGTCCAACGAGGAGAAAGAAAACTCTGATCCTAAACTTCCGCTGCCTTGTGGATTATCTTCAGTAGAAAAAACTAAGCAGTAAACCCTACACAGGGACGCGGGTGGCGCTGTGGGTTAAACCACAGAGCTTAGGACTTGCCGATCAGAAGGTCAGCAGTTCGAATCCCCATGACCGGGTGAGCTCCCGTTGCTCGGTCCCTGCTCCTGCCAAACTAGCAGTTTGAAAGCACGTCAAAGTGCAAGTAGATAAATAGGTACCGCTCTGGCCGGAAGGTAAATGGCATTTCCGTGCGCTGCTCTGGTTTGCCAGAAGCGGCTTAGTCCTGCTGGCCACATGACCGGAAGCTGTATGCCAGCTCCCTCGGCCAATAAAGCAAGATGAGCGCCGCAACCCCAGAGACGGTCACAACTGGACCTAATGCTCAGGGGTCCCTTTACCTTTAAACCCTACACAAATCCGGAGTGAAGTCCCTAAGACCGTTGGGTGTCGCCTTGTATGCCTCCTCCTAGCAACTCCTGCAGGCAAACTGGTGCCAAATATATTACTCCGCTTTCCTTTGGACCACATCAGCGAGGCCGAGAGGGGGGTCTTGTTGTCTGGACCTCCATACACACTTCCCAGGCTTGCACCCCAGTGCTGCTAATGACATCACCCCCCGGAGGCGCACTCTATTGTCTCCTGAGACAGGCAGGTGCCAACAACTCCCATTCTTGTTTGTGCAACCATATATGTTTAGTCTCTTGACTCCAACCTACTGGGAGAGGCAAGTGGGCTGCACGGGGAACAGAAGTGGTTTTAGGGTAGCGGGACTGGGGGGGCACCACAGCAGTGCTGTGGAACAGAGCACGAGAAGCAGGGAAGCACCAGATGTTAGCGTAGGCGCAGGGCACAGCTGAAATTTGAGGGCCCAAAGTCTGCCACTGCTGGGAAGGGAAGGCTGGGGCTGAACCCCAAGAGTTGCAGACATCTCCCCATGCCATAGTTTGGCCACCCATGCAGTAAGAAGTCACCCACGCATCATTTCTCCTCTTTTGTTTTCAAGTGATTGCCGGTGAATAGAATATTAATGAGAGAGAACAAATAATAAAACCTCACGAATCAAATTTGCCTCTCCATTCAACGCCCGACAAAAGAAAACCGCCAAAGCGGATGTGGAGTGCATGGCTTGGCAGTCACCAGCGTGAAGGACTTCTTTAGTTCTAAATTTCAAAAGGTTTTCGTTTCGTGCAGTTGCCTCTTTGCACATTTGGAAGAATGCCCAGATTGCAAAAAACAACAACAACCACCAGAGGTGAGTCATCGAAACGGGTTCCAAAGGAGGCATAAAAATAAATTCACCAGGCACCTCAGTGCAGAAGAAGGGAGAGGGTGACTAACAGGCAGAAGACAAAAACAAACTATACCATCCTCTTCCTCACACACACATGCCCAACAGCCATATCCAGCTGCAGTATGCGTGCAGCTATCAGAAACACATGATCACAACATGGTAAGATGGCTGTCCTACCTGTGATGGGAGCCTAGCTGGGAGAACAATGGCTGAGTGAGCAACATCCACTCAGATGGCCTCGCCCATGTGCTTCTGTGTAGACATGCAAACTATGCTTAAGGGGGCAGTGACAATGAACCCTCTGGCTCTGAATACAACAGAATACCGATAGGAATCCATTTGCAGAGAACTGGGCCCGCAGAAATGCTACCTAGCACTGACTAGGCAGTCTGGTATTGGGCTAAGGCTCAACCTGCCTGGAAACCATTCTGTATGAAGTTTGCCTTTAAGCCCAGGTGTTCACCCAACAAGGATCTCAGCAGTGGAGGGAAAGCACTCTGTCTATGCTCAGATGCTTTCTTAGACAAAGCCCTGCCATCGAAAACAGGCTGAGCTCACAGATTCTGCAGTGGAGCCCTGGCTCAAATTAAGTCCTGGCAGAGACCGTAAATATGAAATGGGAAGTTTGAAATTGTTAGAGTCGTGTATTTATAAAAAACATATTCAATTAGGCTAGAAAAGTGCAATGTCTGTCATCATGTCATAAAAAGATGTGTTTTTTCTCTCAGGTCCACTGTAAGGAAGCCCAGCCTCTATTGCGGCAGATAGAAGCAGTGTTCAATCAGTTACATGGAGCAATCCAATTACTAGATGGTTTAGTGCGGTAACTGACTCCAGCCTAATTTGATTTCTTTAGGCCTCTAAAGATCAATTGATCTGATTTGCTTCCCTCCCTAAAGGCTAGTTAGGAAAAAAAGCAGACTTAAATATCTGGAAATTAAATCCAAAGCTTTGTCCCACATTCACACTATTTAGGTCAACCCAAAGACAGGCAGTGTGCAGTGAATAAAAGTCCTCACAGATGCTTTGCCCAGCATAGGTGACCATGCTATAGCCCAAATTGTTCATACACAAAAGTGTGTCTGCCTTAGGAAGTCCATTCAAAAAATGGATTATCTGATTACAAGAGCTAATCAAATATCCACCTTTCAAGAAGGTGTGAATGTGAACTGGCAAACCGTCCGTGCCAAGGCATGTAAATGGAACTGATAATATTGTTTGTTTCCAGAAATGGCAGTTGAGACTCTATTAACTTTGCAAGTTGTTTTCAAGGTCCGTCATTCAATGAAATGAGTGAAGGTGTGTAATGAAAGGTTTTTGGTACGTATAAATTTGCACTAAGCCGACCTGCTTCCAATCCACTAGGCCTGAGGTAGCTGGTGTGGCTCTCTCCAGATGTGTTTGGACACCAGCTTCCATTAACCCTGCCTGTTGGTCATGCTTCCTGTGGCTGATGAGACTTGGAATCCAAGAATATCTGGAGGTCACCACATTATTGACTGAGTGGTAATCACATAGCAAGCCAGGCATGTAAGTATGGGCACCTGCCCAAAGCGCCAGCTGGACAGGGGTGCAACTTGAACATCAGAAATCATGTGGTATATAAATAGCCCAATCAAAAACATTTTTGTTGCACGCAGGTGTGAATGTATTCGTGGGGCTTACTTCTTAGTAAGGACTGTCGCCTTCTTGCAGAAATGTGTGATTTAGTATGACCCTTTCAAATGATTTTGATGCTGGGGGTATTCAGTGAATGGGGTTGGGATTGGGATCCTGCCCTTGGCATAGAAATGACCAGCTAAAATAATCTGTGCTAAACCAGCTGCCATCCTGCCAAGGGACTAAGATGATCTGACCACACTGTTAAAATGTGGGACAGAAACAACATGGTTGTCTTCATACACCCATTACAGCGGAACCTCGGTTGTCAAACGTAATCTTTTTCCGGAAGACCATTCGACTTCCGAAATGTTCAACAACCGAGGAGCAATTGCCAGTTGGCAAAATCCATTGAAAAAATGGAGAACCACACCTCGGAAGCCGTTCAACTTCCGAGGCACGTTCGAACACGGAAGCATTCACTTCTGGGTTGTCGGTGTTCATAAGCCAAAACATTCGACTTCTGAAGTGTTTGACAACTGAGGTTCCACTGTACAAATGGAGCAACGTAGGCCATTAAAAATAGCCATGCAAATTCTCATTCTCATGAGACAAAAGGACATTGTAATGGTCCAAGAAAGAGAAGAGAGTGCCTAATGATGACAACAGTGCCTTAATATCTGCACTGGGTTCCAGTTGTCCTTTGGTTGGAGTTAATGAGCCTTTTTTTAAATCTAGAAAAACCTGTACCTTGTCCTAAACCTATACCTTGCCCCTTAGGTTCCATCAACATCTTTATGATCAAACAAACGTTCACACAAGCAAGCAAAGGAAGAAGCATGTTCATGTTCTGAAATAGTCCGATGCGGACTATCTCCATGACCTCGCAGAGGGTTTGAATGAGAAGGTGAATATTCTGGTTGTGGGCTTGGACAAAAAGACATACAGGTTGTTAAGAAAAGACATGAGAAAGACTTAAAAGTGGCAGAGATAAACGGCAACCACTAAGTTATGTGTTTATTTTATACGAAGTCATGCATATGTGTGTTTATGTGTTTATGAGTTATATGAGTGGCCAGCTCACTAGATCATTTTGCCTTTAGAGCAGCAATTGGAAAAGGTGGGGGGATCTTCAGGGGAGCAAACTTACTATTTTTGAGTATTTATATAAAGTACCTGAGACCTCTTACAGTGCAACATGAACCTGCAAACGCTATAGCTTCGTGGGAGAGGATAGAACACTTTTCAGGACAGCTCTTCCTCTCTCCTCAGCATTATCTTATCTTGAACAGAAGGTAAACAAAAAGTCCCTCTTACCTCTCAATATCAGTGAGTCTAGATGAGTCCCTGAATCCTTTAGCAAAAGGGTTGCTGTCAATCTTCAGCTTGGTTATCTGGAAACAGAGAAGAGCAGAGTGCATTTGCAGCCAGCTTTTGAGGAGACAGTCTTACAGCCCATGACCCCAACCAAACCATCCATACCAAGTCCCCTGCTGCGCTTCTACCAAATTTATCTCATCTCAGAGACAGGCAAGCAAAGAAGTGACTTCCTGCTTCTTCTGTAATGGCATTTGAAGACCACCATTAGCCTTCAGGGCTCAAGAACTATAGTTGTTGCCACTTAAAGCAAAATGTGAAGCATTTTTTGTAATATATATTTCTCCTCGGAAGGACATGAGAGGAACCTTGTGAAAGGCGAGGAAGGTTGCTACAAGACATGAGAACTTTCTTGAGACCTAAACTGTCCCTCAACTGTCAAAGACCATTTTGCAGCAAAAGTGGAAGCTCCTGCTCAAGTTAAACATCCCAGGCATTCCCAAGGAAAGCTAAACATTTCAGTAAGTCTAGCAAAAATTTCTCCTTAGGGATTTGTGAAGTGTGAAAGTCTGGTTTTCTTGCTCAAACCATTGTAAATCAGGAGTGTGGTGTTATTGGAACCCAGGACAGCTACTGAAACCAGGCCTCCTCTTAAGGACTGGACCAGTTCACAGTATCTCCGCCAAAATAACCATCCAAAATGGCCACATGTTTTTGTGTGGAGAATGTTGACAGGGTGATAAACTGAGACTTGGTTACACAGGAATGCAATAAAGTTGTCTCGTTTTTTAAAAATACTATGTAGGGTAGACATATCTCAATTCCATGAGGGGAATTAACATTTTTAATCTTGAGCACCACCAGTACAGAAGCGAATATTTTTTCTCACTATGGGATGGTATTCTTATTCTTATTCTTATTCAGGCAATGTCATTTCAAAAGGGAAGCAAAGTGACAAAGTTGATTCCTACAGAGATGGACCATGGAGAAGACTATGGTGAGCAATCTACAAGGTACCTGGAGCAATCTAGATAAGACAGAATTGGCCAGAAACAAGTAAGATAAGCCATGTTTGCCTGGGGAAATGGTGTGGTTAATATTTGCTTATTTACTTATTACCTGCCTTTCACCCTGAGCTCCCAGGGTAGATCACAATGTCAAAACACAATTTACCAACACAAAAATAAGATTAATCCTAAAAATATACACTGAGGTTGTTTTCCAAAAAAAATATTTCTAAGCTCCGAATAAAAAAAAATGGAAGCTGTTCAGGGGGACAAACAAAACAGGACTCTTTTTTCACAGTATTGTGCAGATGCTCCATAAAAAGGGAATCCACAAAGCATGTCTGTTGCACAGAAAATGCTCAGTACAGGAGCAACACCAGTTTAACATCAGAATGGGAAGGTGGTTTGCAGATTTGTTGGATGCTGTTGCAGCCATTTTTTAAACTCCCAGTTCCCAAATGAATCATGAGAACATCTCCAAGAAAGCTTGTAAAAATGAAAGTTGACCTACAATTCAACTCTCCCGTAGTGGCTTGACTGTTTAAACAAATGCATGACCTTTAAATCTTAAATGTGAGATAGTTTGTTGAAAGTGTAATGTATTTAGCCCTTATCTAATAACCCGCAGAAATGTAATCATCCCCCTTAAAACCAGCAGTGAAAGAAATGGCAAAAATAAGAGAGGTTCCATTTTCATTAGTCATACGTAATACGACAGCCTCTGTCTCTAGGATTTCCAGAGGGAAATTTGGCAGTATTTACGGGATGCGCTTGAGCATCAGACCACAGCTTTCTAAAACTGCTTGGTCCAGGCAAACACCTTCCCCCCTCCCACAGGCCTGAAGCTTAATTCAAAGTTTAAAAGACAGTAGGATCTATATGAAGGGTAAACACATAGCTGCCAGGCAGATAAATTCTATTTTTAATTTAAGTAATTCATTTATACACCAATTACTTCCATGTGGTAAGTTTCTTTCGAAATCGGGTTTGAAAACCTAGAAGATTTGGAACTTAGCATAGTTGTGTTCAGCAGAGGTCACTGTCATGTAAGTATACAGAGGGTTGCCGCTCACAAGTAAGACGCACTGTGTTCAGTGTGGATAATGTGATAGATTGAGGCTATTTTTTAAAAGGGATGTAAACTGCCAAAAATGCAGTTATCTACTATTCTGAGCCTTTTGGAAATGCGCCAAGTTCTAAGCATCTAAATAACTGAAACTACGTATACATTTGGTCAAAACAGATTCATTTTGGGGGGGACAAAGTAAGGGTGCTACTGAAATCAGGCTGGGCCGCGCATGGTGCGCTGCTCTGAGGTGCAGACAGGGCCACCCTGAGTGGCAAGAAAGGCTTCGTGGAGCGCAAGGAGTCTTGATTTAAAAAAAACAAACTGCTTTGTGCATCTGTGTCTAAAAAAATAATAATATTGGTGTGTGTTTTCCTTTTGTAAATCTACCAAAGAATAAAATTAAATCAGGATTAAGGGCTTTTCTCAGGGTGGTGGAGGGTGTGTGTGCTGTGTCCCATTGGTGTAGCGATGGCACCTGCCCTTCTTCTGACAGAAATGCTCTGTGGGGGCGGGGCGGGGGGGCCAAAAACGGCAGGTTGAGAAGCATCAGTTGTAGGAAATGAGAAATGTCCCTATTTTCATCTGAGGAATGTTGGAGGGTATGGGGAATGTGTTCTGGTCTTGAATTCGTAGAGCGTCTGCCCTTGTGGGTTGATGAGATGCACATTTTGGATGGACATCAGACTCTAGAAATTGTCTAGAAAGGGTTTAGAATTCCCCATTCCCGTACTGGGCCTGGCTGGTGACATTTACCTGCCCAGTGTAGATCTGGAGATCTAGCATGTTGTCGCGGCTGCAGGCCGCACATTCAGCTTCAGACAGATCACGCACCATGTCTCATGGCTTCATCAGCAAGCTTAGACTTGCCTGTATTAGGAAGGTGTTGGGAAATGCTGCTCTCCTTTCAGACATAAGCAGTTGCGGTCTTGTGATTCTCCACCAACACCTCTTCAAATGGCTTGGATGTGAGCCGCTCACCAGAGAAGAGTTTTTCTGACATGGCTTAGGGATGAGTGTCAGAAAGCTATTTTGAGATTTCACAAAGCAAAGGGCAGAGGGAGATTCTTCCGTCAAAGTCTCTGAAGGTTCCATTGTGGAACTGGCTCATGAGAAGTCCTTTGCCCTCTTTGTTCTGTGAAACCGCTCCCCAGACCAGCCTAGAAAATGATAGATTCCCATAGGAAGTCCGTAAGCGGGACATGAACGGAATAGTGCTCTCCCCACACAGCAGCTTCAATACCAGAAGTAGAGTCATAGAACCATAGAATTGTAGACTTGGAATATGGCCGCCATAGCTAGTGCCACTGAAAGGCTTATCTGCGGTGAATTTGTCTAATCCCCTTTAAAGGCATTCAAGTTGGAAGCCATCGCTTTGTCTTGTAATAGCAAATTCCACACTCACAGTATAAAGACAGACTTCCTTTTGCCCAGGGGTGCCAACTTGAATAAAATATTGCGGGGCCCAGGTAAGCCCAGCCTGCATAATAGCTCAAGCATTCACACCATTCAAATGCATTGGCAATGTCCATCAACTTAGGGGGGGGGGCATCCCCTCAAATATTTTATTGGGAGGGCCAAAGACCTCTTGGTCCTTAGGAGTTGGCTCCTGTGCTTTTGTCTGTCTTGAATCTTCTCACATTCCGTTTCATTGGATGATCACGGATTCTAGGATTATGAGAGACGGAGAAAAGCTTGTCACCCCCCCCCCCCGGCTACGTTATTTTATACATCTCTATCATTTCCCCTCAACTCGCCTTTTTTCTAAATTAAAAAGGCCCAAATGTTACAATATTTCCTCACCGTGTCTGGAATGCCATCACAAACTCCCAGCGACTTCCGATTGCAGTGTAATGCTGCAGCCGGTCTGCCCAAAGCAGACGTAAGACTTTGTGACATCCTTAGGACCAAATCATGTCACATTGTGCACACTTTTTAAGCAGGTCACTTGCATTTTTAAGAGAAAGCAGCTGCAGGGCCCCAATCCAGTGTGTGCTCCTGCATCTGTTCCTCCTGCATCAGTTGAATATCATCTGCTACCCCACCATATTTGTCTCCAAAGGAGTGGATGGTTTTCAACAGGAACCTGCTGCAGGGGCCTGATCCAGTTTACAAGCACAAAAAGTAGCAGGGAAAGAGGGAGAGGACCTTGCAATTCAGGCACACAACCCTCATTTTCATCTCTCAGTCCAGTAGTAGCATTGATGAAAAGACTAATAAGAGTTATAGAACACTTACCAATTGGTTCTGGTAGGCAGTGACAGCAGTAAACACAGTCTCTGGAAATATAAATGTCCTGAATTCTTCAGACTTCAGGTTAAGCAAGGAAGCTGTATGGTCTTTCTTCTTGATGATGTGCACCCTCGGCTGGTATTTGTGCATTGAATTTAAGATTATCTGGAGCGGAGATAAAGGGGAAAGCTACTCAGATTCAAGTCAACACTCACAAATAAGGGGTATTTAAAGTGCAGTCAAACCAACAATTCATCTTTTGCTAGATAGGAGCTGAAGCTCACAAAGTTTTCTTGTAAACTTGCTAGAGAGGACTCTGTGAGAGACACCCCCACTGTGCCCTGACAGGGGGAGGGCATAGCTATATATTCTCCTGCCTGCTTTGGCGTGTTCTCCTACTCTCTTACCGCTCATCATCATGCCAGCAATGTGAAAGCATCTGCTAAGTCTGAGCTACATGCTCCATTTTAAGCTAGGCTTAAGTAAGCCTTTGTAACTGATATACCATTTTAAGTCTGCCTGAACAAAGCTGCGGTATTTGTTATTCCTCAACTAGTATTCTGAGTGAGTAAGTGTTGTTTTTACTTATTATAAGACTGTTTGCGTGATTATTGTTTCAAGGGGGAGAAAGGTGGGAAATACCAGGAGAATCCGGTCTGTCTTAAAGCATTCTGGATTACTTTAAACTAAAAGGCTAAAACTAGCCCATCTAAGCTTCTCTTTTTAAGCTGCAAAGGGATGCACTCTGCTGAACTCACAAACTTGAGGGAGGAAGGATAATATCTAATAAATATATTCTCTCCTAGCATCCATTCAAATCCCAACAACTACCAACTTTTTTACTTCAGCCCAAGATTTTCGCAACACCTTTCTGCAACACATATATCAACTGTTCCACAGCTCACGGCTAGGACCTTGTAATTAGCAATGTGCAATAAATTGTTCCCTCACAGATCTCTTTCCTAATTTAAAGATTTCTAAGAGGGAAAAATGATGAATCAGAAGAATGATGGAACAGACTGCAGGTGAGGGGTACCGAATGCTTCTCTGCATTCAAAAAAATATTCCAGGACAAACCATCTACTCCCTAAGAACAAAAGCTGGAGCAGAATCTTCCATCCTATCATTTAGCTGTTAGTTTTATTACTATTTGCACAGAATTTGGATGCACGTTCAGAAATGTGATCCTTTTCTGCCGTCTGCCTCACTCAGCTGACTGTGTAAGACCAGCTCATGTTGTCTTTATGAACAATTGCAAAAGCAGAAGGATTTGGTGCAGAAAAAGAACTTTCCCCAGTTTCTATCACTATATGGTTTTTTTAATAGTCCTTAGGAACGCAGTGGCCTTTGCTGATCCTGATCAAAGCCAATAGCTCTCTGTAGAGAAAGTATAATCACAAACACTCTGTGAATAATTGTCTTCCTTGGAGGACACCAAGGCTCATATCACTAAAAAAGCAGCAGTTTGGTCCCAGATAATGCACCGCACTACTAAGAGTTAGTTGCCCTGGGCTCTTGGGTTAGATTCTATGAGACAAGGAAAGACAATATATCTTTGTCATATTACTGTGTTCTTGACAAGCTGGCTCAGCTACTGCTATTGCAATTTTTTAAAGCTCTTATTTCTATTTCTTAGAAACACACTTTTCATATCAACCATCACATAGATACAGCTGCAAGACTTCCACCCAGGGACTTTGATGCCTTCTTTAGGGTTCATGAATATGACATCCAGTAAGGACAAACAATCACACCATTATTTCTCCATTATGACAGTGGGAGAAATAAATTCTTCTTAAAAGCTAACAAGGAGAGTTGTGTGAGTGCAGACATGCCTACTCAGAAGTAGCTCCCACTGAATTCAACAGTAAAATATGCATAGCATTGCAGCCTCAGTTTGTTATGTTTCTTCCCCACTGAAATCAATGGGACTTAAGTCAGGACAATTTTTTCACACCAATGGGCCTTCCAAGCCCATCTCAGGATACTTCCAACTGGAGGACGTCTATTACAAGCAGACCTGATTTTCTGTGTGTGTGAGCTTACTGTGTTAGCTTCCACACATTTCCATTTTTTTAGGGACTGGTGTTCGTTGCTGTTCCACCTTTTGCCACCCATCCCAGTAAATGTTTCACAGTGGGCAAAATGGTAGCTTGTGATCTGGGAGGGAGGGATAGGCAGGGAGGGATAGGCATTTCCATTAATATTTAATACGGAGATCTTGTGCAAAACTGAAATTTAATACGGAGATCTTGTGCAAAACTGAAATTTAATACGGAGATCTTGTGCAAAACTGAAATTTACTTCACTAAGGCTTGCACAAGACTGATAAAGAGAACATGCCCAATAATACTTCCGTATTATAATGATTATATGGGGGGAAAGATGCACAAGAAACTGTTTTTATAATGAAATTATTTTAGAATGTTGTATCATTTTACTGTTGTTAGCCGCTCTGAACCCGTCTTGGGCTGGGGAGGGCTAAAATAAAATAAAAAATTTATTATTATTATTATTATTATTATTATTTGGGGGCAGGGACAAGCACACCACCACAGAAGCCTGTTTAAGGAGAGAAATTGTTAAATGGGGTCATGGGCCGGTGAGTACAACGATGTTAAAATGCTGAGCTGCTGAACAAAGAGGACAGAAACAAGAGAGGATAAATGAAGTATAAATGACAGAACCTTCTCCCCGACCCAAAGCATCCCTTGCTCCCCCCATTACATTTCGCACCCCTTAACAGCCACCTGAAAACAGCAGCACCTTCCCAACAGCCACCAGGGCTCTGCTCATAACGCCCGTTCCCACCAGGTGTGCCGGCAGGTGTCATTGCCTGAGAGAGCGGACATTGTTTCCCTTCCCACAGGACCAGCTACTCACGTGACCGTGCTGATCCAGCTCGTTGTTTGTTAGCTTCACTTTTTCAAAGGACACCATCTGCTTCAGCAATTGTTCCCCCGTGAACGGAGAATCCGGGTGCACGTACAGTCTGGAAAGCCAAGAGACACAGGGCCTGTCAATCAACCCAATCTGTGTTTGGGACGTTTGCTTTTGTAAGAGAGTCACCCTACAACTTCCCAGCCTAGTCTACTAGGCATAGCCAGTTAACAACACTGACAACCCAGCTCAAGTTCAGGTGCCCTATTTACTAATTATTATTATTATTATTATTATTTTATTTAAAGATCTGCCTCTTGAAGAAAAAGCAATGCAATGTATGAAAGATTGTTCTGAAGGAATAATATAGGAGAAGGCTCAGACTGAAAGATATGCCAGTGAAAAGGGGTTCACTGGCTCCATTTCCTATAGATGTTAAAAGAAACAGCAGCTGCCCCAGTGTCAAAAGAAATTAGTAATGTATCAGTCTCAGAAAGAAAGCACGCAAATTAAGTCATCGATGGATGTTCAAAATATCCGGAATTCTCTGGACATAGCGGGTATTCAGCTCTCTTAAGCAGTGTCTGGGCAAAAATCCGCTGAAGTGTCCAGGAAAATCCACGTTGATGTAGATTTGGGCGATTTCCATTAAAAATAGCTCAAAAAAATTTCTTTTTGTTGAGATTTTGCACACAAAAATAGCTCAACAACTTTGCCAAAAAAACCTGCAACAACTTTTGTGTCCGGATTTTCACTTTTTGAAATACGGCAACCCTACTTAACAATATACTCCAGTCAGTGCCGGATTTATGTATAAGCTAAAGAAGCTATAGTTTAGGGCCCCACTCTCTTGGGGGCCCCCAAAAAAATTAAAGGGAAAAAAACCTGGATATACATTTCCAATTGTATTTCAGTCCAACAATTACTTTGATAAAATACATATTTTGTTATGTGCAAATGGCTTTAGGTCCATAAATTACCAAATAGCATATATTCAACACAAAAAACAGTGACAATTTGTTGTTGACAAAGGACAGCTGGACATATAAAGAGCCCCATGACCTTCAGTAGCTGAGGGCCTCATCAAACCTAAATCCGGCCCTGATTCCAGGGATAGATAGACTTTCAGCCTTGGGTGGGGAAGAAACTGCTGTACAATAGAAAGCCCGTTCCAGTCCCTCCCAGATCAAAGGCCAGGGAAGCGGAGACCTAGCATGGCATCATTGCCAGCCTCTGCCAACAGATAAGATGGGAGGGGTCTACCACAGTGGAAACCCCAAGTTACCCCCAGGCGAGTAATAAGCCTTGAAATGGGGTGCTAGAGTGTAGGGTAGCAGCAGCTTTGGATCAGCTGGAGCTGGTTAGCTAATAAATAGCCGCACCCTGCTTTTGCCCCTGCCAACATGATCCACAGGGCTTCCTGTTAAGTTGTGGGTGAACATATCAGATGACACAGCGATTCTTCAAACAGCTCTTGTTTATTCACAGGCCAGAACAGAACTGAACTGAAGGGTTCAGCCAGCCTGCTTATATAGAGCTCCAGTACAACGTAACTGTAACAACTTTCTGAAACTATCTAATCACTGAATGTCACTTTCAATCCCTTATTTGCATATGTGGACCTGAGTGAAAACTATCTACAGTATCCCCCTGCTGGCCCAGGGTTAGAACTTTGGTGCATAACACTTCCCAACTCACATCTCCCCAGCTTTTCATAAGCACTCTTCTGGATGCAGAGCCGGTTCTGCCATTAGGTAAACTAAGGTGGCGGAAGCCCTGTGGGTGCCCCGCTGCCTCCGGTATTGGCTGAAATGGCACCCAAAATTGCAGAAGCGGCAGGGTGAGCAGAGAAGCGGCAGCAGGGCAGGGAAAGGTGGCACTTACTGTTTTGCCTCAGGCGGCAAAATGGTACACACAGCTCGCCTGGACGCCTGCCACGTATGACATTCTCGAATCCACTTCTGCGACAAACACGGCAATCCCATCAATGCTAATCTGGGAGTAAGCCCTGCTGAACCCAGTAGGACTTACTTCCCAGTCAATCTGTCTCAGGTCCAGCTGCCTAACTAACAGCAACCCAGCCCACTTCCTTGCAAGTAAATTCCACCGAAATCAATGGAACAGTCCCAGGTTAATAGGATTGAGATAAGCGATGTCTGAAACAGGCTCATTAAGTTATTCATTTGCTGGCCTGAATCATGAATGCCTGTTTCTCTTTTAAAGCTTTATTATTTCCTGGGCCTTTCATTCCTTTTGCAATCTCAGTCATAATTTTATTTCATTAGCTGATGCTTAATGCTTCCATTTTAGATTATTATTAAGCAAATCCACTGCATTGTCTCTCCCTCCTCCCCAAAAATGGAAGATTGTTTGCCTCTTCCCCTGCAGCTGTTCTGATCAAGGCTTGAAAGAACAATGAATGGCTCATGAGTACCAACATGGTATAGTGACTGGACTAAGAAAAGAAAACTCAGCCATTAAGCATTCCAGGAGACTCCCTCCCTCCAGGTTTTGAGCAGCATAAAAATGAAGGAAAGGGACTATTTAGAGAAAAAACAGAATATAAAACAAACAGACAAATCACTGAATAGTTTTACTCAGAGTAGAGCCACTGAATTTAATGAATGTGACAATAATAATAATAATAATAATAATAATAATAATAATAATAATAATTGTATTTATACCCCGCCCTCCCCGGCCAGAGTTGGGCTCAGGGAGGCTAACACCATTAAAATTACAGTAAAAATATAATAATAATAATAATAATAATAATAATAATAATAATAATAATAATAATAATAAACCAATTTAAAATACAGGTTAAAATGCAATTTAAAATGCAGCCTCATTTTAAAAGTAGCCCATAGATCAAAACCATAAGGGGAGGGAAACATAAGGGTCAGATTGAGTCCAAACCAAAGGCCAGGCAGAACAGCTCTGTCTTGCAGGCCCTGCGGAAAGATGTCAAGTCCTCAGGGCCCAAGTCTCTTGTGACAGAGCGTTCCACCAAGTTGGGGCCAGTACTGAAAAGGCCCCGGCCCTAGTTGAGACCAATCTAACCACCTTGCGACCTGGGACCTCCAAAGTGTTGTCATTTGTGGACCATAAGGTCCTCTGCGGGGCATACCAGGAGAGGCGGTCCCGTAGGTACGTGGGTCCTAGGCTGCATAAAGTCCGACCTGCACTATATATTTAAAGCAGTTATCCTACCCACTTGAACCACCATGGATCCTGGAAACTGTAGTTTGTCAAGGGCAGCGAGAGGTGTCAAGAGACTCCTAATTCCTTCAAAGAGCTACAGTTTTCAGAGTTTCCAGGAAACAGGAATTGGTTGTTAAACCACCCTGGCAATTGTAGCTCTGAGAGTGGAACAGGGGTCCCCTAGCAATTCACATCACTGCAGTTCCCAAGATTCTTGTGGAAGGCCCTGATTGTTTAAATGTATGGTGCAGACAGGACTTTAGTCTGGTCCATTATTTTTAATAGGTGTTCTCTGAGTAAAACTCCATTGAACACTGCCCACTATCAGCACATAAACAAGAAACCGATTGTACTTTTACCTACCACTGAGCAACAAGCTATTATTTTGCCCTGTGGTGGATCTTAGCTTAGTCAGCAAGGAGTTAAAAGCACAAGGTGGCTTGCATTGTCAAGGAAACTAATCAACACTCTGTACCAATGTTAAAGAAACAAATCAGAAAACCCCAAAGGAAGAAAAGACAAGCAGAATATTTAAGCTACAAGCTAGAACTCATAAGACAGGTATGTCTTTCAAAGGTTTGGTCTGGTTCCTAAAGCCATTTAAGCTAGTCGTATTCTGGGACTGGGGACCCGCGGAAAGTTCCACAATAGATTTTTCCAAAAGAATTTTGCTCCTTCCATTCACAGCGCAAGGGAGGGAGAGCCGCTTTGCACGCTGACAGCAGGAAAAGGAGGATTTAATGGTCATCTGCAGTGAAGGTTTATGAATGGAAATGCTTTCAAATGATATTGGCTAATCCTCGTTAATTTCGGTCTCAGCAGTTGTGGTGCTGAAAGTTATTTCTCTACAAAAATGATGGGGGGGGAGCCTGAGGGTATGGATGTCACCAAGGCTTACCTACGGCAGGGATTCCTTCCCCCCCCTGCGCCCCCCTTTCTCTTGAGAATCACCTATGTAAGTAAACTTATGGATAGATCTTTTCGACATCAACAAGTTAACTTCATTTGACTCAATCTCGCGAAGCACGCAACAGATATATTTCTATCTTCAACACTTAAACATATACACACAGAGATGTGGCTTCAGTCTACAAATAGTGATCACTGAAAAAATGAATTTAAAACCCCTGGAACTTAATTATTATTAGATTGCCAACATGCTTAAAGTTTGAGCCATTGAAAGTTTCAGCTTAATCTGCCAAAAAAATCCTCATAATACAATAGACAAAAGCATCAGTTGAAGGAGACAGGCCGAGACCACAGTCCTATACCAGGTGAACTTAGTGGGACTTACTTCTGAGTAGACATGTATAGACTGCATAGTGAAGGTCCCATTTCTGAACGAAGCTTATCCACATCTGGACAGTTAGAGGAATTTTTTTGATATATTTTTTTCCCCATAGGAAAAAGCTTTGATGTGGATAAAGTAGTCTTTACTGCTTGCCAGCCAAACTCTCTGTCAGGAGGCCATTCCAAATTCTGAGGGCCACAACTGAGAAGCCCCTGCCCAAGGTAACCATCCATCATATCTCATAATTTGGTGGAATGATGAGGTTGTTTTTCAGCCAGATTGACTCATTTCACTCTGTGCTGCATCTTGTACAGGATGACATCACTACAGGAGGTGGCCAGCGCTGCTGGATCCGACCACCCACCACCCCAGCCAACACCACCAGTAGTCATGAAGGACTGGAGTCATAGCCCAACAACATCTTGGGCACAGGGTCATCTCATCGCCTGACCCTGCCCTAGACAAACCATTCTAGGAAGTACCAGACACCATTTTGGAGCAGTTGTGGTAAAGAAGAGGTCTCATGCGGAGCTTCAGTGTGAAACCTCTGGGGCCTTGAATGCTTCACTGACGGGCATCAAAGAAACAACATTCTCCCAGCCACCTACTGTCCAAAGTTTAAGGACTCAGTTGCCTTGGCGAACTACACTGAAGCATCTCAAGTGCCGTGGAAATAGAGGAAGGCTTTCCATGGGACACGGGTGGCGCTGTGGGTTAAACCACAGAGCCTAGGGCTTGCTGATCAGAAGGTCGGCGGTTCGAATCCCTGCGACGGGGTGAGCTCCCGCTGCTCGGTCCCAGCTCCTGCCAACCTAGCAGTTCGAAAGCACATCAAAGTGCAAGTAGATAAATAGGTACCGCTCCGGCGGGAAGGTAAACGGCGTTTCCGTGCGCTGCTCTGGTTCGCCAGAATCGGCTTAGTCATGCTGGCCACATGACCCGGAAGCTGTACGCCGGCTCCCTCGGCCAATAAAGCGAGATGAGCGCTGCAACCCCAGAGTTGGCCACGACTGGAACTAATCGTCAGGGGTCCCTTTACCTTCTTTACCTTCCATGGAGGCCTCCAAGTGAGATAGCTCTGACGGCGGGCCAGTTTGGGAGAAGGGAAGGAGTGGTTCATGGGATTTGGAATATTGCAGGAGTTGGGGAAAGAGATTTGGATCTCAATGTGCATTTTGAAACATCATGGGGAACATGAAGGGGTCTGAATTTAGAGTTGTGCTTGGGGAAAATAGCAGCTTTCCAGAGCGGGGAATGGCTTGGCTTGGCTTGCTGAGTTGGATTGCAGACTGAGCCAAGGGGAGCTCAGTCATTCCTAGATATTCTCTCTCTCTCTCTCTCTCTCTCTCTCTCTCACACACACACACACACACACCATTTATTATTCCGAAGTTCTGTGGCTACAGAAGCTGAAAAAACTGAGCCTTTAAAATTGAAAAAGGGATCTTGTCCCCTTGACTTGCAGAGCAAGTCGACAATTAATTGACTGCAGTGCATAAACATGACCCATGGTTTAGCCTTCAGTTGAAAAAATAATGTAATTGCATGAATCAAGCTGTAATCTAATATTTTTGACTTGCACTTGGCCAAACATGCCTGGATTTCTTTGAAGTTAAAGAGTGGAAAGTATTGTAGCAAGAAGGAAATAATGTATATATTTAAAGGGCCATTTAAACTGTTTGGCACTAAAACTTTTGCAAGGTTTTTGGAGGGGTAGGGCAGCAAATCCTTAAGATCTCTGGGCATGATTAAGCCAACGTTAATAGAACCTGTTTTGACTTTGATTAGATCGCACCTAGGATTCGTGGGGGGCGGTGTACAACTCTCCTTTTAAAATCTGCTTGCATTTAGCTGGATCATGCCTACTGCCATACACTGCTCAAAATTTTGGGGGGGTTCCTATAAAAAAACTCAACAATACAGCAGGAATAAACAACCCTGGGAGAGATTTCCTTGGAAGTAATCTGTCAAGGGCTGCAAACCAGTGGTGTGTGGAACAGGAGTCAAAAGTGGGCATGGATAGGGCCAAAGTAGATGGAACCACCTCCTTTTCTCTCACTCCCTTTCCTTCCAGTTTTCTTCCTCCTTGCCACCTGCATAAAATTGAACCAAGGGCCACATAAAATCAGACCAAGGGCCAAATGCAGACTTCAGATTGTCCACCTTTGGAATGCACAGAACTTTTGGATCCTATCAAGGATTTTGTATTCCTGACCATTGGTTTCAGCAGTTGTCAGTTCTTGGTCTGGCCCCAGTATTTACAAAGCAACACTGAGGATTCACAGCAGAGATTTGAGGGGTGTGTGTAATGGATATGACTTGCACATGAACTGACCTTGCAGGCAGAGGGGGGTCTGCTTTGCCAGCAACCAGCCAGGAGGACCTGTGGTAGGCATATCGGTACCGCTTATTGTCCACTGGAACGATATCCATCAGCACAATGAACTTGGCTTCCGGGTCCACGCCCGAAAAGGAAACCCTAATGGTCGGAAACATTCTTCTGAAACAGACAGAAGCAAACAAGATGGTGAATATATAAATAAGGGACCAGAGAAAACAGCCCCTTTGAAACTGATCAGAAGCAGACATTATAAGCCTAGCCTACCAGAGAGACAGGGAAATTCCAAGCATTTTCTGTATATCTTTGTTTGGGGATATTTAAAACAATCCATATCTCCCTACAAATATACATTGACTGAAGCCGCTCCGCATTTTAAACATTTAAAATGCATTTTAAACTGCAGCTTGACAGCCACATGCGGCTCCCAGGCAGTTAAAGAAAGAGAGTCGTGTAAGAAGACTTGTCGTGTCCCTTCCACGCATGGTGAGCAAGCCTGAGGTTGCAAGTGGAAGGAGCTGTAGATCTGTAGGAACACAATGGAATGGATTCCTTTGGTCGTGTGGAGCTCAATGGGGGAAACAGGGCAAGGAAGCAACAAGCAGAATGGAGGCTATGTGGGAGAAGAGCGAAAATTAGTATAATAAACAGCAGTCATGGCTTTGGATATGACAGCAAGCTTGCGAGTTGAGGCATCTCACTGCACATCCTAACCTAGAGAGTGGAAAAATACATATGCCTCCAGGTTTTTAGATGTGTTGCCGAATTAAAAGTTGGTCATACTTCCATTCTGCATCATATCCAAAGTAAATACAGTGGTACCTCTGGTTAAGAACTTAATTCATTCTGGACGTCCATTCTTAACCTGAAACTGTTCTTAACCTGAAGCACCACTTTAGCTAATGTGTGCTGCCGCCACACCGCCATCGTGCGATTTCAGTTCTCATCCTGAAACAAAGTTCTTAACCCGAGGTACTATTTCTGGGTTAGCAGAGACTGTAACCTGAAGCATCTGTAACCTGAAGCGTCTGTAACCCGAGCTACCACTGTAATGGTTTTCTCCCTTAGTGCTACACATATGCTATTGGCACACTATCTTATTCCCACTTCAAAAACATTAGAGCTAGAGTAGGCATATTTGGGTCCTCCTTTTAAAAAAGCCACCATAGCGATGAGGACCACCCATGTTTGCTCTCAAATACAGTGGTACCTCGGGTTAAGAACTTAATTCGTTCCGGTGGTCCGTTCTTAACCTGAAACTGTTCTTAACCTGAGGTACCACTTTAGCAAATGGGGCCTCCCACTGCCGCAGCGCAATTTCTGTTCTCATCCTGAAGCAAAGTTCTTAACCCGAGGTACTATTTCTGGGTTAGCGGAGTCTGTAACCTGAAGCATCTATAACCCAAGGTACCACTGTATATTGTTATGAAGAATATTGTGGTGTTGATAAATGTAATAGGATTGTATCTATCATCTGCCTTGGAACCAGTCAGGATGAAAGGTGATCTGTTTTTTTAAAAAATAAAATGTGCATGCTATTTCCTAAGAGCTAACTTTTTTAAAAAATCAAGGGGAATTTTAGCTATGTGTTTCCAATTTATATCCCTTCTTTCCACATGAAATGGCATGAAATTGTGGTATTGTAAAAAAGCAGCCTTGCAGGTGTCGATCGCTATTTCTGAATTGTTTAAGCACTCCCATGTTAAGTGGGACAATTAAGAAGCAGTCTAATGAACTAAACAAATAGGAGCCTGTAAAATATCACAAAATGATGCAGCATGGAAGAAGGGTTGTGTCACTCGCTAGTGATTTCACAAGCACCATTTGTAGCCCTTAGCTGCAATTTTTGGGGAGGAAACCCCACTGAGCTTACTGGAGCTTCCTTGTGGGTAAACACTTAAAACATTTTAGGTCTAAAAAGATGAAATAGTGTGGTAAACTCAGAGTTGTTGCTCAAGAGTTGCATGGGATTGTGAAAACTCTTTTCAAAGTTCCTGTTGTGACAATGGCATTTTCCCAGCACTTAAGGAGCAATATTTTGTCAATGGGAAAGTGCAAAGTTCCCACCACTGCCTTCATATATACTGCTTTCATTGAGAGCACAAGTTATATTTTAAGTATATAGTGTGATAAATATGCGTATGTCAACACTTGTATCATGCAGGTACCTTTGCCAAAGGAGATGAGCTTGGTTGCAGAGCCCGGCTGAGTTTTGTATAGGTCTGTGGTAAATCCAGATTTCCTTTGTGTAAAATAGCCTTAAGAAAACTGTACTGTAATCTGGAAAGGCCCAGGAAGAGGGAGGGAACTCACTTTTGAGTGTTTATGAGAAGAACGAAACCAGAATCCTAAATCCTCAGACAGGCTTTCCCAAGTCTGATTAACCCTAGAGCTTTTAGGTCTGGGTGGGACTTCTGCAAAGGACACTAAGAATGGGGTAACCAAGAAAAGCTTTTAAAACAAACAACAACTACAGTTTCCCCTTTTTAAGTCATGGCTTAAGGAAATTTTGTAATTTAATTATTTTTATATGGGGTGTGTGGAACGTGCAAATTATTGGCAGAAATGAAAACAAGGAAGAAATGAGGGTGAGCATCTCCTTTGAGCGCAGAAGGTCCAAGATTCAATATCCTAGCATCTCCATGTGGGACTGGGTGAAACCCCTGCCTGAAACCTAGAGAGCAGCTGTCAGTCAGTGTAGGCAGTACTGAGCTGGATGGGCCAATGGTCTGGTTTCATAATAGGCAGATTCCAGTGTTACAAAGCCCCCTGAATAAACATCAGTTTTATGCCTATTATGGATGGGGTGTTCTGCTTATTAGCTGTAGAGGCTGATTCATATACTGCACAAAGTGGACTTTAGTCCCCAAAAGCTCAGTCCCCGCAAGACGAATGCCTCGCTAAACGAAAAACCCGCAAGACGAAAGGGTTTTCCGATTTTTAGAGGCTTCGCAAGACGAATTTCCCTATGGACTTGCTTCGCAAGACGAAAGCCCATAGGGAAATCTCCTGGGATAGCGGGGAAGCGCAGCGCACCTTCTCCTCTGTTCCCAGACCTGTCCTGAAGGCTTGTGGTGGGAGGAGGGTTTTTCCTCCCCACCGCCAACATTCAGAACAGCCTTCTGAATGTTGGCGGTGGGGAGGAAAGCCCTCCTCCCACCGCAAGCCTTCAGGACAGGTCCGGGAATAGAGGAGAAGGCGCGCAGCGCTTCTCCTCTGTTCCCGGACCTGTTTTGAAGACTTGCGGTGGGAGGAAGGTTTTCCTCCCCACCACCAACATTCAGAAGGCTGTTCTGAAGGCTGGCGGTGGGAAGAAAAGCCCTTCTCCCCCGCCAGCCTTCAGAAGAGTTCCCGGAGGGCTGCCTAGGCTGCGGATAGCAGCATGCTGCCCCGCGCAAGGGGCGCTCTTAAGCAGAGCGCCCCTTGTGCGGGGCAGACACCTGCAGCTTGGGGAGCCCTGCAGGACTTCCCCGCAGGGCTCTCCAAGCTGCAGATAGCAGCCTGCTGCCCCTATCCGCAGCTTGCGGATAGCAGCCTGCTACCCCTATCCGCAGCTTGCAGAGCCCTGCGGGGAAGTCCTGCAGGGCTCCCCAAGCTGTGAATGTCTGCCCCGCGCGAGGGGCGCTCTGCTAAAGAGCGCCCCTCGTGCGGGGCAGCAGGCTGCTATCCGCAGCTTGGAGAGCCCTGCGGGGAAGTCCTGCAGGGCTCCCCAAGCTGTGAATGTCTGCCCCGCGCGAGGGGTGCTCTGCTAAAGAGCGGCCCTCGTGCGGGGCAGCAGGCTGCTATCCGCAGCTTGGAGAGCCCTGCGGGGAAGTCCTGCAGGGCTCCCCAAGCTGCAAATGTCTGCCCCGCACAAGGGGCGCTCTGCTAAAGAGCGCCCTCGTGTGGGGCAGCAGGCTGCTATCCGCAGCTTGGAGAGCCCTGCGGGGAACTCCTGCAGGGCTCCCCAAGCTGCAGATGTCTGCCTCACACCGGGCAGCAGGCTGCTATCCGCAGCCTAGGCAGCCCTGCGGGAACTCTTCTGAAGGCTGGCGGCGGGAGAAGGGCTTTTCTTCCCACCGCCAGCCTTCAGAAGGCTGTTCTGAAGGCTGGCGGTGGGGAGAAAAGTCCTTCTCCCCCGCCAGCCTTCAGAAGAGGTCTGGGGACAGACTGTCCCTGGACCTGGTCTGAAGGCGGTCTCCATAGGAACGCATTAATTGATTTTCAATGCATTCCTATGGGAAACCGTGCTTCGCAAGACGAAAAACTCGCAAGAAGAAAAAACTTGCGGAACGAATTAATTTCGTCTTGCGAGGCACCACTGTAAATTGAGATCATCTTTAAGGTGCTGCAAGCCTTTTCTGTTTTTGTTTCTGCTACAACAGGCTGATTTGGTGACCCTTCTGAAAATAGCATTAATCCATAAATTATATTAATGTAGGTTTGTTTGAAAAAAAAATTACTGGTTATTTTACAGATTTCAACTGAAGGCACACATTTTTTTACTCTATCCTAAGCTTCTCAAGTACTGCTCATGCACTACAATGTAATCCTACTTAGAAGTAAGTACCATTGTGTTCAATAGGACTTACTCCCAAGTAAGTGGGTGCAGGATTGCAGCCTAAAACAAAATGAAACAAACAGGTCCAGACAGTATCCCAAAGCTGGTTTTTGCACTGCAGCAGTTTGTATAGTTAGCATTCTACAGCTCTTCCCTCACGTCAAAATAAAAGGAAGCATAACATTCTCATTCTAACTATTACTCTGATATTAATAACCTTTAGGTGCAGACTACAAGCAAATACGTCAAGTGGTCTAATGTTACAGTGGCTGATACACAAGGCAGGCACATCACTTGGAGACACCAACATTCAACCCATGACATGCCTGTGTTAAACAGCCATCACAGATCAAAAAGGAAAAAAGAGGACAAGAACCTTCATGTCATCTGACAACACCTCAAACTCAGTATTTTTAGCAATGAGGCGTGGAAGCGGAGAGGAGCAGATCAGCACCTTTTTCTGCGTAAAGGAAGCTTTTCTAGCACAATCCAGATGGCTGAAGCATGGGCTGGATAAATCCACAGCTCTGCACGCTGGCTGGTGATAAACTACCCCTTTCCCAGACTTTTGAGTCAACTTTTTCGCCCTGGGCACTTCTATTCTCACCCCTCTTTCCCTTCAGTTGCTCCATTGTAATTCTGCACAACAAATAAGCAAAAGCACTTGTGCTGAAGCAACATCTCCCCCAAATCTCACACGCAGCTGATGCCTTGCTTAGGACCACCAACCAAAGCTTGTCACGATTTTGTGACGTTTTTGGTTAGTCCTAACGAAGCCACTGTCCAATTGTGGATTGTGGTACCAAAATATAACCGATGACTTTGAAGGTATAGCCTTACCTTCCCGATTTGGTGATGATCATCTCGGTGCCCAGGTCGTGGAATTTGTCCCAGAGGTCCTTGGTCTCCAGGCTGCAGGAAATCTTGGCCATCTCCTCGCTGGGAATGATGGGGGTGGTGGGAATGAGGGGCTCGGTGCACAGGGAAGAGGGGCTGGCGCTGCTGAAATCCCCCGGCGGCGTTTCCAAAGCGGGCAAGTCGCCGAGCGTTTGGGAACAAGACGACTTCTCCACGAATTGCTCTGCAAATGGGACAGAGAGAAAGGGCGACGACGGAGTGAGACCGCTGCTCCTGGTGAATAATCGAGTCACCACAGCAGAGCAAAAATGGGAAAGCAAGTCAGCCTGCTGCCAGGAGGAGCAGAGAGGTGAACCTGACAAACACTAGGAAGGATTCCAGCAGAAAGCCAGTAATAACCAGGAGGGGAACTGATGCGCCCGCAGAAAGGTCCTGAACTCCCGCAAATGCAAACGACGCGCACGAAATTGGAGAGATCGTCGTGGCTATAGCCGATCCAAGACTATCTGGGGGTCTCTTTTCCCTCTGCCTGTCTCTTCCCTCACTCATATGAACTTACGGCCCCTTTGGGAAAGCGGAGCCTTGAAAACTGCGGCCACGATCCCGCGACATTAAGCCCCCTGAATTTCTCAAGCGGCAGAGGATACGGTTTTTAAACTCCCTGCCGCCCTGCGTTTTACGCACCGCGACAGCAGAGGCCTTCGGGCGCTTTTAGGCAGGGAGCCGGCTACACACAGTCGCCGCAATTGGCAGGTAAAAGCAATCAAAGCGCAGCGAAAGTGTTGCGTCTGGAGAGCTTTCTCCACTGCCGCCGCCTCCTGATTTCCATCGCGTCTTGTCCTCAAGATTTCAGAAGAGAGAACGGGGAAGAGAGAACTTGTCGGTTGCCTCGCAGACGAGAGCAGACGCCGCCCTGAGACGGTTTTGCCCACTCTCGAAGCGCGCCACGGACAATGTTTTGCAAGCAGATACAAGAACGCTGGCCACTTGCTTTCTGCGGCAAGAAACCTGTGTTTCATCCGCTTCACTTTAGATGTGAAGAAACCTGTGTTTCATCCGCTTCACTTTAGATGTGGGGAAAAACAAGAAAGATTGCGGGCGGGAGCTGAGTTCTTCTCCCCCAGTTTGTCCGTTCCTCCCACCTATTAGTTTCTGAACAATTGGAGAGTAGACAAGGAGTGGGAATCAAATTTTACGTCCCGTTCTCACTCCCATTTTGTCGGAAACAAGGAGTGGGGAGGGAACGGAAAATTGGGAGAAAGCCATTTCCCCCAATTTTCCTTTTCCCCACCCAGCCCACACTTCTCTCTACTTCAGCCTTGTGCTCGGGGTTCACATGAATGAATGCTCTTCATTTAAAAACAACCTGCAAATAGAAAAGTAGCGCGTCAACCTTCCAGACTTGCTCGGGCATTCCGTTTTCGCGGTGTATGTTTATTTATTTATCTTGGAGCACGTGAGCTTTCACTTGCCACCTAAAGATTTAGAGGTTTGCCTCCTCACTGAGGCCTAGCACCTCGAAGTGTGGCACAAAGCTGGGTCCTTGAAAACTTTATTTACCGTACAACCCGACCAGAAAGGTTTTAGCTCAAAAGACTTTGTGTAGATGACACCAAGCGAAAGGGAGATGATGATTTGCAATCAAAGACGCGGATCTTTTTGGAGGGGGTGTAATTTATTTATTTTTAACGACCCGGCTTACTTGGAAGAAATACCTTTGAACTCCGTGGGCCTTTTTCTATTTATTCAGGATGAGTTTAAACTACTCCCCCCACACACACACACTTCCCCAACCGACAGCGCATTCCTATGCAGGTCTACTCGGAAGGAGATCCGTTGGGCTTCCTCCCAAGAAAATAGGTACAGGACTTGCATCTGGTTGCAAACAACGGGTGAAACACCATCGGGCCCAGCTAACCTCCCCAAAATTCAAAGCACTGTTACTTCTTTCCTTGGATTTCAATAGAAGGCGCAGGCTGCTAATCCTTTAGCATCTCCTTGGGAGTAAGCCTCGTTGCATTCTGTGAGACCAAGCCTAGGATCGCACATTGAGCCTGAAATCCCAGGCACACTTACCTGGGAATAAGCCCCATTGAACTTAATAGGATTTACCTCCGACCAAACGTGTAGTTCAGAGGCCTCCCTCCCTCCCACTGTGTTCAAAGGGAATTTCACGAGGAGCCGGACATTCTCCTTGGAGTAGCTCTCGCTGAGCCTTCTGTGAAGAAACATGTTTAGGTTCGCGCTTCTCGTCTGGATCCTGCCCCAGCTTGTGATCAACAAAAGAACTACATAGAATAGGTAGCAGAGCATCTCTCTATTGTGGCTTGCTTCTACCTGCAAAGGGTAACTGAAATTAAATGATTACCAGTGAAACGAATTCTTGGAGTCAGGAGTGCCAACTTGGCCCTGTGACCGTGGGAGCCCAGGGCCGTGGCTATCAGGCAGCATGCATGGCGCTGGCATGGACATTTGTGGGTCCCCGCCCAGCCCCTTCATGGGGAATTTTGTGAGTGCTTGGGCACCCAGAGCCCCAGGGAGTTGGCACCTATGCTTGGAGTGTCATGCTGGGACCAGGTTGGGTGGCGTTGGGCCGGTACTTACCTCTCAGTTTAACTTACCTCACAGGATTGTAGTGAGGATAAAATCTATTTGTGGGGGGGGCTAGAACTGGATGGAGAAGCAGCATATAAATATTAAGATATAGGTAGGGAAAAGGACCACAGATTTGGGAACCTTCCCAAGTCTAGAGGGGAAACCGCCTCCAAACACCCTGCGGCTTCTGATCGTCCCGATCAATCTTCCAGATTGATCACAAGTTCTCCTGATCGGATTTCTTTCTCCAGTCCCTCCGCCTGGAGAGAGGCTGTTTCCAAAGAAACCCCCATTTTCATCAGGCGAGGGGACCGACCGGGAAATAAAGTCATCGCTTGACCTCCTGGCGTTGTTAACTCTCCGTGGGGCGCTATCAGATGTAGGCATCGTGAGCAAGCCTCACCTTCCGCACAAGTCTAGAGTTCAAGTGCCAGAAACTGGAGACGAAATGCGAAAGAAACGGATCCAGCTGGAGAAAGTAAGTCAGAGATCCCCCTAACGCCCCAGCTGTATCCAGAAAATCGGGATCTAGTGGTTTGTGCGCAGTCGGGATGGAGGCGAAAGAGGCTAGATTGTGCTTTAGCTAAAACCAGATATAGGACTCTTAATTCTAAAACTCTCAGGATGTAACCCTACGTCCACTTACCTGGGAGTAAGCCCCACTGAACTCGGAGGGGCTTACTTCTGAGTAGGCTTAAATTTGATTGCATTGTAAAGCCCCGGGCCCCCTCTTAGCAGCTGCTTGTAAAATCCAGTCCAGGGGCCAGCATCCACCCGGAAAATTTTCTCGAATGTGCTCAGGAGGCTTGCGCAGGAGAGCTTCCCCTGCTGGGTCGCGCGCCTCGGCGCTGTTGGAAGCCAACTGATAAGGGCCCAGTTACTTTGAAGGCAGGAAGCCTGTCTAAATGCCCCGATTATCGCCGCCCTTAAATAAAGAAACCACTTGAGGGGCTTCGTGGTGGTTGGCGGTGGAGGGAGACTTTATCCAGCTGGCGTCGGAAGCGAGCGGCGCGCTATGGAAGGGAAACCCAAAATAGAACTGGTCCCAGATGGGCAGGATCGGACCAGCGACGCCGGCGGCCCATTCCCAACCAACTCACAGGACCCAACCTGTGCCAAGATGCGGAGTCGCACCAGCCGGAGACTGATTCCAAGCATTTCATCCAGGAAATGCAGAAAACACACACCACCAATTGGTCAGATACACGTTTCCAAGCGGACTAGCCCAGTGAAAGGTTACGACTCCCTGAGATGTTAAAAACGGCTGAGATTTCCTTCCTAAGAAAATATACGCAGGTTTGGAGCACGCAAGATGTGCGCTGCCATCCCAAGCGAAAACCCCATTCAATTCAGTGGGATCTACTTCCAATAATGAAGCAGATCTAATCGTCCAGTACAGTCCAGGCTCGAAGCCTGATCCTGACGGCGGTGCGGGATTGAGGATTGGAGTGATCATTCTGTGATATTATGGCAGTGGGGAAAGCTGTGTTGTAACCTTGGAATAAAGTCAAGGAGGGGTGGGGAGAAGAGGCCTGATTCTCGACCCCTTTATTCAGGATAAATATTTCAGCTTCAGAGGGATCGGACAGGTGTAAAACCTCGTGCTTTATTAAAAGTCAGGGTGCGCTCAAATCCCGATAACTTCTTGGCTGCGTTGCCCAACTCACTGATCCAGTGTAAACTTCGGAGCTGAGTGGGGTATTAAAATAATTACGGTTTGGAAAGGGACATAACTAAGGATGACATATGCATCCAAATTTGGGGGTGGACAGAACGTCTCTGTTCCTAACACTCTTCCAAGGTTCCCCGCAGGGCGCAAACTGAGCGGTAGTTTCACGCACCATTGAAAGGAATGAACTCTGCTTTTACGCAGCCTCGCTCCTTTGAAATGGGGTTTATTTAGGGAGAAACGCTCAGGTGGGTTGTGGCTTTCCTTGGGACTTCTAACAGTCTGCACGGAAATCAATGCGTCTCCCTCGATCCAGGGTGTATAAACACAGGATCGCACCCTCCGGAAATCTCAAACTCATATCTCACCTCCCAGCCAGGGACTTAAACGCAATGGATGCTTTGTGGCAATTGTTTGGTTTTGCGTTCCGTACCCCGCCCTGGTATCTGTATCGGTGGAAGGCGGGTTACACATATTTATGATAAATGTATAAATAAAAGTACTATGAAAAGAGGAGAACACTCGCTTTGTTGGGATTTCTGTCAGGTTTTTGTTGTTCAATGGTTTTGTCACGCTCTTAAGCACGATAATGTCAACCGGACATCCTCTAGAAAGCCAGTTTTTAGTTGAGTAAATTAGTGGCACAAAACACCCCATAACTCTCTCCCACGGAGATCTAGCGATTTTTTAATTCAGATAATATATGCCAAAGACACTCGAGGGAAGTTCTAAGCCTTGGCTCTCAGTCCTGGTGTAACCCTTCAAGCGCATTTTAAAGCACCCGCTGCCAAGAATCCTGGGAACTGTAGCTCACCACCCAGAACTACAGTTCCCAGCAAAATATGGTTCCCAGGATTAATGGGGGTGTGTGCTTTAAATGTATGGCGCGAACTCAGCCAAGTTGCGTCTCACACGTTCAGCAGTGACTCCTAGCTCCAACGCATAATAATGGATTTCCCAGATAGCTGTCCCACTGGGATTAAATGGACCGAATTAGATCGAAGTGTAACCCCCAGTTCACGGCAACGGAATCCACCTCCGAGCAAAGCCAACCGCATCTGTGACTCTGGCTCTAATCAGCCGCTGGGCGCGCAAGACTCCGCGGTTGAGTCTGGGAAATGGGCTGAACAGAAGGGACGGCAAGTTGGGCATACACTTCCAATGGAAGAAGGAAGAGGGGAGCTAGAAGGCGAGGATACAGCGAGTCGATTTGGAACGCGCTCCAAAGAAAACCCAGGGCCCTCGGCCTCCGGTTTCTTCCTCAGCAAGAGACCAAACGAGGAAACCGAATCAAAACAAATCGAGATCCCGCCCGGTCCAATCTCCTGGTGATCATCTTAGTCGGTTTAGCAGATCTCAAGGATATGGTCGTACCGAACCTCTTTCAACCTGTCCGGGATCTTTCTGCTAATTTTTACTTAAAAACTGCAGTGGGAGGCGGGAAGTAATATTTTCTTAAAAGCAGGCGCAAAGGCAAGTCTATGCAACCACGAGCCAGTCCATACTCGGAACAGGGGGAAAAAAGAGGCTGTAAATAACCGGAAACAAATTTGCTGTGACCAAAGCTCAGAAAGATAAAGTATAAAATTATATTTAATGTACGATGTTTGGGATGAGGGACCGGTTTCTATTTTCTACGAAAGTTTCTTAAGCATACGCATTGCTTATATTGAAAGCATCTTTGTAGTACTTAAAAGCCTTCGGATTTTTTGTTTTGTCTGTTTAAATTACCCTTTTTTAACAACGCCAATGAGAACTCTCGCTCTTCCTAATAACGAAATGCAATATCAGAGTATAATTAGGAAAACCATTAGTTGAGGAAGAGGGAAGTCTCAGGACAAGATGGCCAAGAGGTTTTTGTATATTATATGTAAGATGGATGTTTTGTCGAATTTTTTTAAAATAAAATTTAATTAAAATTATATAAAGAGAGAGAACTCTCGCTCTTCCTTTCATTCTTCACCAAGAGAAAAGGGTAGTTTTCTAAAGGCGCATTATTTCTATTAATGGTTAAAGGGTGGGCTAGCTGACAGAGGGAAGAGGTGTGAAAAAATTTATAGTTAAGGGTTTTGGGTAATGTTTCTTAAACAGCCCTAAAGGAAACCCACACAAAGAGCTGAGCAATGATTTTATGAGAAGTATTTTTTGTTAACGCTTCTGTAAGAGAAAAGGATCTAAATACATAATGTACCTAAAGCTCAAAGTGCTATAAAGGTCAAAATCAGCACAATAGTATCTTAAAATAAAGAAAGTGCAATAATTATTTGTTATTTTCCTTGTAACGTCCTTGGAGCAGAGACATATTTACTCTTTTCTTAGGAAATTCTGTAATTGAGGTTCTATACAAGTCGACAAAACTTATTTAAAACAAAACGCACAAAACTTTTCACATTCTCCACTACTTATCATTATTAATCATCTGCCCTTTACCCAAAAGGCGGGTTCCAACATTCAAACACAATATTTAAAAACAGTTTAAAATAACTTAGGTGGGTCCTAAAAAGCATACACATCGAGTGTCAAAAGCCAGGGTAAATTGGGTTGGGTATTTGGGTTGACGCACTAAACTTCTGGAATTAGAAGCAAGTTCTCTTACGAATCAAAATGGCTTATTTTCAAGTCAAAGTGGAAAGTTTTACTAGAGAGTATGAAACTGTAGTCCTGGCGTGTTTATCAGAAAGCAAATCTTATTTACTCAACGGGGAGGATGTTTTAGGATGGGATGTCCATCCATGCAGGATAGCGCAGATTGACTTCAGAGGCTTTAAGGATCACAGTCAAAAATATGGGCTCCCTGTTGTGGATTGCAATTCAGGTCCAGCGAAGTTTTACCTTCGACTTCAAAGGGATGTGAACGGAGTCTTTGTATTTGAAAGCAAATCCCATTTCTTTCAGACTCCTTAGTTTATGATCACCTCATCCTAAATACATTTATCTGAAATTGGTCGGGTTTATTTATTTTTTAATGGCTTCCAGATTCAGAATCACAGCCTTGGCTATTACGAATCCCAGTGATTCCAGAGGACAAGTTTATTTTGAATACAAACTCCTTCCAAAGGAGGCCCCATTTTCATCCTGAAGCAAATCCTACCAAGCTAAACGTGCTTGCCCAGAGATCCTGGGACTTGCTCCCAGCTAAATGTGCACAGGATTGCAGTTGTCTCCTGTGCAGCAAATGTTCACAGAATTTCGTGCTTTTTAAAAAAATCTTGATTGCTAGTAATTACTTTAGCTGAATCTCCCTCTCCTTCAACTCTATCTCCCTAGTTTAAAAAGTGTACGAACAAACTGGGGAGAAGTGGTTCCCACTTAATCAGCTGGTCCTAGGGCTGGTTTTACAACTACAGCTGCGCCCCAAAGTTCTCGGATGAAAAGTTTGTTTTCCGGATCGATGGCCTCTTTTGCCCGGAGAGAGGAAGAGCAGTCCAATAAAACTCAACTTAGCAAAATCGTATCTGGTTTTTATTTCTGACCGGAGATACGGCACTGGGGCCAGATCCTGTATCTGATCCCTCTAAAAACAGCTTCTTCTTAAAAGGAAAACGATGCGAAGGATAATCGCAGCCTTTAAAGAACCACGGAACTCCCCGTCGTAACACCGGGATATTTTAATTGTTATACAGGCTACTTAGAAAAGCGTTTGCTTCCGTGGCCTTTTAACACTTTCCACTGGGCGTTTGGAAGGCATCCTTGAGAACATCCCAGTCAAGGGGAAGTGGAACCATCCAGTCCAATTTAGGAAAGGCATTCTCCCACCCCACGAATAATTATTGTTTTGGAAAGCTGTCCTTTCTAAACGTATCCTCCCGCCCACACACACAGTTACCAGGGAGTAAGGCCCATTGAGCTCGGTGCCGCATTAAAACTGCTAACACATTTGCAAAACTAAGCAGGAACCTGTCTGTTTTCCTGCATTGCAGGGGCTTCGCCTCGATGATCCCGGGGGTCCCTTCTATGATCCTATGACAGGATCACCCCCTCCCTCCATTCCCCCAAGCGATCACTCCAGCATCCCAGGCGAAAGCCCCTCTAGGCTGGGCAGGTGGGCTTGGAGAAGAGGACCCCCCGACGGCGCGTCCCTCCTTCTCCGGAGACTCACCCAGAGGCTTGATGGTGCTCTCGGCGCTCTCCTTCTCCTTGGAGCTCCCGCTGGACATGAGCGCGGCGATGGAGAAGGCGTTCGCCCGGGAGGAGAGCTGCGGCTTGGGGGAGGCGGTGTACTCCATGGTCTCGGAGCAGAGGACGGCACCCCCAAAAGAGTCAGATGGTCGCGCAGAGCCAGGCCGTTCCCTCCTGCTACCCAGACGGCTCCAAAGGAGAAGCAGCGAGGAGGAAGGAGCCCACGGGCTGGGGGATCGGGAGGCCAGAACTTTTTGCCAGACTCCCCAGGACGACTCT